GCCTCTGTAAATTCATAAATTTGTGTATCGATTTGCCAACAATATAATCACGATTCTTGATTCTGAAGAAGCTAGGAAGAACAATATTTCTACCTATAATAGTCACAACCCTATAAAAGGCCGGGTTTTTATAAAGCTTTTTTTTTTAAGAATGGGTTTTTGTAAGGTTTTGACCAGGCCTAGTCCGCACGTTTCTTTTCTTTTTCTTTTTTCGAGGAAGGCCCCCTACTTTTGAATGAAATATACTACAAGCATAAACAACATTAGTACGCTATTTCTTTTCTTTTGTTTAGGCCGCCGTACGTACAAGGTGAGTACCTCCCCCAGTATGCATGCCCTACTACAGAATTGACATCTAGTCCCGGTTGGAAACTGGTTTTAGTCCCGGTTTCTCAACCGGGACTAGCATTCCGAGACTAAAGGTGGTGTTCTTTAGTCCCGGTTTGCCACAACCGGGACTAAAGATCCTCCCAGTTTAAAAAAAATAATGTCTCCCACCGCTGCGCCCTATGAGATTCGAACCCAAGACCTCATGCATTGTCTCGCGCGAGCTTACCACCCCACCTACACAACACATCTAACAATGGATGTGATGCTTTCCTTTTGAACTAACCCATCGGGGGACCTTTAGTCCCGGTTGGTGTTACCAACCGGGACTAAAGGATCCTTTAGTCCGGGTTGGTGTTACTAACCGGGACTAAAGGGTCTACCTTTAGTCCCGGTTGGTATTACCAACCAAGACTAAAGGTTGGAGGACTTTTAGTCCCGGTTGGTGGTTCCAACCGGGAGTAAAGGAACCTTCAGTCCTGGAGGCAAAAAATGCCGAGACTAATGCCAAATTGGGATATCGTTCTAAAGTCTGTTCTCTAGTAGTGATGGATTTGTGGACATGATCGGACGTCGATCGGTAAATTCATTCATGTTATGCACATATATATATATATATCACTAAAATCATGCTCGGAATACATACACGCTTCCTTGTTCGTCTATATGCACTTAGTACACATGCACGTGCTTCCTAGTTTGTAGATAAATAGCCTACCAATTAATAATAACTTTTATATAATATCGTTTATGTTCATGGTACTATTGTTTAATTTCTTTAGTCTATCATATCATTATTTAAGTTTTATTATGGATCAACTTGAAAAATATTGTTTGTCGAATAGAGTTGACATATCTTATATTATATTTAGAGACTGAGCAACAGTTCTTCAGCCTTTGACAATATCTTTTTTAAAAGCAACCGGCAAAAATATACCAGACATATAAGACTACAGCACGGATGTTTAAGAAATCCGAATGAGGCGAGGGTGTTGTACGCACATATTCGACAAATGTGTTTCTTAATGGTTTTATGCACTAACTAGAGTTGTCTAAGATAGTTGCTGTTGATATGTAGGGAGAGACATAGAGAAAAATTCGTGGGCCATGTGGTAAAGCAACCTCCATCCATGAAGCTCATGGTCAGTTGTGTTTATGTACTGCTAATATGTTCGGGAAGTATCAGATTTCATTCTAGATCCTATAAGACTATGGTACTGATAACTGGACACTAAAGCATACGGTGACTACGCTGGAGATATTTGGACGGGACAATATTCAATTTGGCTACGATGTCTGTGATGCGGACTACAGAGTGATTGCAGTTTACCTGGAATGGAATTTGATTTTACTTGTTGGCGAGGACAAAAAACTGATGGCATATGACATGAATCTCAGAAAAGTTCTTGTCCTCCCTGCCCAGGTCATGCGGTATCGTAGACCTAACTGGAGGCTACATCCAGAGGGATCTCACTATCTTTCTTATGTTCCCTTGTTCATGGAGTCAGTAGGAGAGTAGTAAAGTTGCATATGTTGTTCTTTCTTCAGGTAGTGAGTTGTTTTGATTCTATACATAGTTCAATTTTATCTTGGTAACTAAAGCAATTGTATGTTGAATACTATTAATGCCGCTGCTTTGTGCAGGTTGTGGAGTCTGAGTGCTTTTGAACGATTTTCCTACAATGGCTAAGGGAGGATGAAGAGGGGTTCCATGGTGCACTAGCTAACAAGCTGAAGGAAGCTTTGCCTTGCAAACAGAAGTGCCAATCTAAATGAGTGGAGCACATCTACCTCGTTTTCGTTATATAAGTCTATAGGGAGCAGAATCTTTATTCTTCTATCTATGTATCGCTTTTGTTAATTCTTAAGTTGACACAGTTGTTTTGTTAGTATCGCTTCTTATTATAAAAAATACTCTTCGTTGTGGACATGATGAATGATGTGTAATGATTATATCTGTATGGTGTGTTCTGTAAGTTATTAAGGCTCATCTGAATTAGTAAATAAATTATGAAAACCGGATGCAATTCTGTCACTGTCGGATGTAAGGGCCGTTATCTGTTTTGTCATCACCGCTGTAACACTCGTCGTTGGTGAAGTAGACGGACAACACCGCCGCTATTTGTCTCATGCGGCAGGGGTCAATAGTGTTTCACCTCCGAATCGTATTGTAATGCGACGGTAACCATTGCCAATGACCAGATGGTTCATACGCTGAAGTGACGGTGATGTCCACCTCAACATAGACGTGTTGGGCGCCAAAGCGACAGTGAACACGCACTGCACGCAATCGGATCGTTATGTAAGGCGACTGTGATCCTGATCATTTATCAAAACGACGACGTTAGTGTACACCCACACAGGCGGGTCGTGGTACAACGTGATGGAAACAACGACCTGATCACGGACGGATCATAAGCCAACAAGACGGTGTTAGTGTACACCAATACAGGCGGGTCGTGCTCTAATGCGACGAAGACAACGACCTTATCACAGATGAATCATAATCCAACACAGGGGTGTTAGTGTATACCAACATAGCCGGGTCATGCTCCAATGCGACAAAAGTAAGGACCTTATCATGGACGGATCATGAGCCAATACGGCGGTATGAGTGTACATCGCAGACGGTCTCAGATAGCGACGATGATGACTACGACTATCACTGCCGACAGCTTACTGCCGAGGCCAAAATTGAACTACGATGGGGGTTACCACGTGGCTGTGAAAGGTGCGAGTGTAGTAGTGATTTATCTGTCGAGCTATCCATGACAGGATTTGCCTGTCAGTTGCCTGACATAATTTATTTCCCTGACGTTTTTTTCGGTTAGCTTGAAGATTTTTCAGCACACAGGGATAATGTAGTTTGCACTAGTGAGGATGCAATCTATGGCCCTGTTTGGTATGGTTCTAACTCTGGGTGGAGCTGCTCTACTCCAGAACTCCAGGTGGAGCCAGCTCTAGGTGGAGTTGGAGTTGTCTGATTGAGGTGTTTGGCTAGGAGGATGTCCCCAGCTCCAGAAAAGAGGAGTTTGAAGGTGAATTATCATTTTTGCCCCCAACTCATGGTCCCACCTGTCATCCTCTTATTCTCCTCTTTTCTTCCTCAGGGACAGCAACACCTCGCCATCGCGCTGCTCCTGGCGGGTGGCCTGGACCGCACGGCACGTGCGCCCTCGACGAGATGTGCCACAGGAGCGGCTGTTGATGGGGGTGGGGCGCTGTTGACGGCGGCGGCGAGGAGCCGAGGAAAACATTCGCAACCAATGCTCGAAAGAAAACCCATCAATGGTGGCTTAGATCCCGCGTCGCCAGACCAGGCCCTCGCGCCCCAGCAGAGCTCCAGCCCGTGGCGGCCCTCTACCGAGCTTGTGCCCGTGAAGAAGCGCCCATAGAGAAGCGGAGGATCTTGTAGGGAACTCGCGGAGGCCATGGAGAAGCGCCGTGGGAAACACGCGGCGGTGCCCATGGAGCGCTCGCTCGAGGCCAGGATGTGCAGCGGTGTTTAGGGGCGGGTGCGGCGGACGGATCTAGGTGGGCACGGCGACCGGAGTTGGGCGAGAACGGGGGTCGGAGCTAGGCGAGCGGGCGACGGAGATGCTCGAAGACCTTCGCGAATCCAGTCGGACGGTGAGGGAGTCACGGCGCGGGGGGGCTCGAAAAAATAGAATCGAACCGTTTTTTTCTGTAATCAATGGCATTGGTGGGTAATTACCCACCAACTCCACGAGGAGGTTCGAAAGAGAGGATTCTGGAGCAGCAAAAGAGGTGCTCCAAAACTCCACCCCCGTTTACACTATAGCTCCATGGAATTGGTAGCTCTATGGAGTTTTGGAGCTGGGATGTTTGGCTGGATTTTTTGCTGGAGTTGCTGGAGTTCTTGAGTGCAGCTATGCCAAACAGGCCCTATATATGCTAGCTTGGGCGAGCTCGTGAAATGAGATGCGAATAGTATGAAAGCGATCTATTTCTGTTTTACGATCTGAAATGTGCACTAAATGATCCAATAAGCATACATTTGTATATACATACTAGTTTTTTTTTCAGAATCATTGAGTGTACATTTGTACACCTTGTCCACCCTGCACTTCCCCTGGCAGTGCACCACCGACACCTCAAGCACAGGCCTGTAAGAAACAACTGCCCTGCTATATTTTTCTTTGCTAGAATGAGCGCAGCCGCCGCACTTTGAGAGGCAACATCAAAAAGTGGCGTCCACTGAAACGAACGACCGCGCATGGCGATCGGGTTTCGCCGGAGCCATGTGTCCGGCGCCCCCATAGTCATGCCACGGCGTTCAGCCGTTCACACTCTGTTCCTTTGGGACGCCCAACCACATCGACCACCGCCGGGCCGCGCGCGGGGACGGCTACCCACCAGCGCGCACTGAGCCGGCTGAGACGTGTGGCCGAGCTTGCACGACGCCACTGGCGGAGGCGCCTCGTGCTGCCACGCGCCCACGCCGCGTGACGGTGCGCGGCTAGTGCTCGCCGCACCGATCGTCCCCGGCCATCACGAGGTCGGTTCATGGTCGCTACACCTACACGCTCGACACCACTATATAAGGAGTTGCCTGGCAACCATGAAGGCACAAGCTTACACAGCTGCGCACAAATCACTAGGAGAAGCAAGCACGTGCATACAGGTACCTAGTAGTCGTAGCTAGCGTTGCCATGGCCAGGGGTGAGGTGACGACGAGGGGTGTCTTTGTGGTCGCTCTGGTCGTGGCCGCGGCCTGCCTCGCCGCGCCGCGGGGTGCCGACGGCGCGGGCGAGTGCGGGGCGATGCCTCCGGACACGATGGCGCTGAAGCTGGCGCCGTGCGCGTCGGCGGCGGAGGACCCCAGCTCCGTGCCGTCCAGCTCCTGCTGCAGCGCGGTGCACAGCATCGGGAAGCAGAGCCCCAAGTGCCTCTGCGCCGTCATGCTGTCCAACACCGCCAAGAGCGCCGGGATCAAGGCCGAGGTCGCCATCACCATCCCCAAACGCTGCAACCTCGTCGACCGCCCCGTCGGCTACAAGTGCGGAGGTAGGTAATTAAGGAAGCAACAAACTAATGTGTGATGTCTACAATAGTATCTCATTCATGCTGATCTTCATTCTTTACTGTTTGCTCCGGTCGTTTATTCTGTGATTATCATGCATCAGCAGTATCAACAAGATGCAGTAACACTGAATGTGTGTCTGTCTGTGATTCTTCTTTTAATTATTTACAGATTACACTCTGCCGTGAGCGGTGAGGACTCCTGGGATTTGCTGCATGACATGTTCGAGTATCACCAAAGCGCGATCGAGCTCTTGTGTCGTGTCCGTGTCCGTGTCCGTGTCCGTGTCTGTCAGTCTCTGTGTGTTGCCCATAATAAACAAGAATTGCGAGTACCACACATGTGGAACGCTAGTAGTATGATGTGTCTTATCACAAGATACGTACTCATCATATATAGTTCAGGGTCCAGGATGCAGTCCTGCATTATTGTCGAAATAAATCCTGCCTTTCTGATGAGATCGATTGAGAGATAGTAGATGTTGTGCAATACAATTCATGTCTCCACCGTTGTGAACTGAAAAGCATGATGCTCGACTAACTAAACGAGTGATCAGAGACTATATTATTCTATATAAGATTTTTTTAGATGATGAAAAATAAGAACATGTAATACGGACCTTGCAAAAGAAAATCAAGGCACGTACGTACTCTCTCGTTTTGAGCACAGTTGTTTAAAAGGGACAACTAATAAGATGAGTTCTTGATTTTGGCGTGATGTAATTTGTATTTAAGACAAAATGCAATTCTTCATCCCTCGTGAATGGCCTTTTTTTAGAGTTTGTGAATAATGTTCAACTTTTTTTTGCGGTGTTCTAGTTGCACATTTGGTTGTGCATTACTTAGTACCTGTGGATACGCTCTGTCGCTAAATAACTGTCGTTCTCGCTTCTCAACATAAAAGTAAAATGTATTCAATTTTGACCAAATATATACAAGAAAATAGTAATATTTATAATACATAATTATTATCATTAGATAGATCATTGAATGTATTTCATAATAAGTTTATTTGGAGATACAAATGTCGTTAATATTTTCTATAAATCTAGTCAAATTTAAGAAAGGTTAACCAACACGTTTCACATAGCGACAGTTAATAAGGGACTGAGGGAGTAAGAATTATGGACCGGTGACGCCCCATTGAGGAGGTTGAACAAAGCCGGACTTTCTTATGATAACTAAAAAAGTTCAACTTCGAACTTGAAAAAAAACGTCAAAGAAAAAGGAGTAGCAGTTGAGAAAGTGGAACCTTTCTTGTATGCCATCCTCTCAAATATAAGAATAGTTATATGACCTATATTTCGTAGTTGCTTGACCATTGTAGTTTGTACATAGAAGTTTTCGATTCAAGCTACATCTTATTTTGTTGGATAGAAGAATTATTTGATCTATCCAATAATCACAAATTATAATAAATAGTACTCCATTGTTTGTTTCATATATGGCATTGTTTTGAACTAATCAGTGTCAAATACTAAAAATATTGGGGTACCGGAGTGCCAACATGATTCGAGGGCAGACATAGATAATCTCATAATCATTTTATGGGAGACAATTAGGGCATGAGATCAGGAAGAGAGCACACATAAGCTAAGCTAGGAGGATAACATGTGGTGGGTCTAACTGACGATGTTGAACCTTGATAAGAATATATAACTAAGATCAACAAAATAGCTAAGGAGGACTAAGAGAGATAAAAAAGGAAAAAGTTCATTTTTGGCCCTCCAACTATGGCTACAGTTTGTTTCTTGCCCTCTAACTCGAAAACCAGACACGCGCAGTCTCTTAACTCTCTAAACCAGTTAAAATTGGTCCTCGTGCCGGCGCGACGGCGGTTTCCACCTAGTCAACCCGCCACGACCGCGGTTTCGGCCCATTCTCCTTGTCTTGTGGCCCAAGTACTCCCGCACTCTCCTCTCACTCTTGTTCCTTCGCCAACCCTGAACCGTAACTCCCGACGGTGACGGCGGAGGGTGCTGGTGTGGGTGCGGCGCAGGTGCTCCAACGCTGAGGGTGCTAGGGGTGCAGATCGACATCAGATGCGGGGCTAGGTGGTCCCCGTGCTGCACCAAGGGCCAGGTTGTTATTCTTTAGTTTGAATCGAAGCCTTTTTTATGGAATGGAAGTTCCTTTTTAGGGATCAGGTGGTTGAAGTCATTTTTACCATTAGCCGACGTGGTATATGATTAGTTTAGGAATTCTGTTTGTTTAAGCAGACTTCGTGTGTTGTGTTACTGTGTAATTGTTTATGTGGTTGCAAGTGTGATGTTAATTATGTTCCTATGCGTGTAATGTAGGACATTTTATGCGCCATGGACCCTCTGGATACTCTTCCTATTCGGTTTCATTATGGAGGAGAATTCTTGAAAAGAGGAAATAATGTGTATTACTTGGGAGTACAAGTGGAGGTGTCATACATTGACCGTGATAAAGTCTCTCTCCCTGAGGTTATGGGGCACCTTATTGATCATTGCACTGTTGAAGAAGGAGCATTGTTGCACTGGCTTGTTCCTAGAAGGCAGCTTTCTAATGGCCTACATGTTCTGATGGATGACCAGGCTTGCATTGAAATGGCAAACAACACTGAGGAAGAAGATGTAGCAGAGATATATGTTGAAGGACATACAGTTGATGATGAAGAGGAAGAGGATGATGAGGATAGCAACTTTGAAGATGAGATTGAAGGTGAGCAAGAAGAACATGATGACAGTGAGTTTGAAGGTGGATATGAGGAACTGATAGATCCAGGTGAAGATGTCTTGGTTGCTCATAATAAGAATGAAAGTAGGGAAAATATAGAGAAACAGATCAAATTTGTAAGGGAGTGGTACAGCCCTAGCAAGATGGACAAGGAGAAGAAGGTGGTTGATGACCAAGGGAGTCAGCCAGTTGCTAGTCAACAAAATATTTCAAGTGTTTTGAACGACAAAGAAAATTTAGAGGACAACAGTGATAGTGAGTTTTTGCTTGGAGATGACAATTCATCTGAGGAAGATGAAGAAGTTGTACAGATTCAAAATAAGTTCAAGGAATTCAAGAAGAGCATGAAGAGTGGACAAGTAGAAAATCTGGATGATGTCATCTTGGATAGGCCAAATTCTGGGCCAACCACGTTTGAGCTTGATGATGATGCAAATGACACCCCATATGCTAATAGCAGTGCAGAGGACGAGTCAGAGGAGGAAGCAAGTGACGGACACTTAGAGACCAAGCACAACTATTACCCAAGGTTCAACAAGAATGTACCTAGTCCTAGGTTTGTGATTGGCATGAAGTTCACTAGGAAAAAGCAGTTCAAGAAAGCGGTTATCAGGCAAAGTTTGCTAGAGAGGATGGTGATCAGGTTTAGGAGGAATGAGTCACACAGGATGTTAGCTCTATGTGATTGGGCCACATGTACTTGGAGATGTTTGTTGTCAACCAATTCAAGGACAGACAGCTGGCAGGTGGCTAGTTTAAATGATTTGCACACATGCCCCCCAATGAGGGACAACAAGTTAGTAACTGCTAGTAGGATTGCAGAGAAGTATGAGAAGTTCATAATGGCCAACCCAACATGGAGTTTGGAAAGAATGAGAACCATAATTCAAGAGGAGAAGTTTGCTATGGTAAGCATCTCAAAACTGAAAAGAGCAAAGGCAATTGTCATGCAGAAAGCACTAGATGCAACTAAAGGCCAGTACCAACTTCTGTACAGATATCAGCTTGAATTGTTGAGAAGTAATCCTGGTAGCATAGTCATTGTCAAAAAAGAGCTTCAGTTGGAACCACTAGTATTCTAGAGAATGTATATTTGCCTGGATGCATGTAAAAAAGGATTCACGGAAGGGTGTAGAAAAGTGTTAGGTCTAGATGGCTGCTTCTTTAAGGGTGTAACGAATGGGGAGCTTCTGTGTGTAATAGGAAGGGATGCCAATAGCCAGATATATCCCATAGCATGGGTAGTAGTAGAGAAGGAAAACAATGAATCATGGGACTGGTTTTGTGACATTTTGTTCAGAGATGTTGGAGTGGGAGATGGGGAGGGGTGGGTTATCATATCCGATCAACAGAAGGGTATCCTCAACACAGTATAGAAATGGGCTCCTAGTGCTGAACACAGAAACTGTGCCAGGCTTATATATTCCAACTGGAGAAAGAAATTCAAGAACTAGGAGTGGCAAAAGAAATTCTAGCATTGTGCAAAGGCACCCTGTCCATCATTGTTCAATCTTGCAAGGGGAAGACAGCAAAGTATACACCAGGTGGTCCACAAGCCTTGATGAACACTGATCTAGCTCATTGGAGCAGGGCCTGGTTGAAGATAGGATCAAATTGTGATTCTGTTGATAACAACATGTGTGAAACATTTAACAAATGGATTGTGGAAGCTAGGTTCTTTCCTATTGTAACTATGCTGGAGACAATTAGAAGGAAGGTAATGGTGAGGATCCAACAGAATAGGTCTAAGTCACAAACATGGATAGGAACAGTGTGTCCCAACATCCTTAAAAAGCTAAATGCAAGTATCACCCTTTCAGGGGTATGCCATGCTATTAGCAATGGAGCTGACAGATTTGAAGTCAATCATTGGGACAACAGGTTCACAGTTGACCTATAGGCTAGAGAGTGTTCTTGTAGGTATTGGCAGTTGTCTGGGTTGCCACGCTGCCATGCTATTTCATGCATCTTTTACAACACAAATGTGCTAGATGGTTACATTGTAGCTTGTTATTATATTACTGAGTTCAATAATACTTATTCTCACTGCCTAAACCCATTGGAGGGTATGCAGAATTGGACAGAGTCTGATCTCCCACCCTTGAAGGCACCTGGATATGTGAGAATGCCAAGCAGACCTAAAAAAGAAAGGAAGAGGGAGCCACAAGAACAACCAAAGGCAAAGAGACTTTCTAAGGTAGGGATAGTCACCAGATGTAGGAAATGTAAGGGAATAGGAAAGACAGCAAAGTATACACTAGGTGGTCCACAAGCCTTGATGAACACTGATCTAGCTCATTGGAGCAGGGCCTGGTTGAAGATAGGATCAAATTGTGATTCTGTTGATAACAACATGTGTGAAACATTTAACAAATGGATTGTGGAAGCTAGGTTCTTTCCTATTGTAACTATGCTGGAGACAATTAGAAGGAAGGTAATGGTGAGGATCCAACAGAATAGGTCTAAGTCACAAACATGGATAGGAA